GAGGATCATAATAGCTCAATTGCTATGTACATATGACCATATAAAATCATGCTAATCAAAATGAATGCCATGATATGTAAACAAGAGGGTTTCTATTTTAATGTACTATGTGATGTTATTTCTTTTCTCTTTCAATTTTTTCCCTTGGTTTAATTCCCTGTTGTCACTGTTTTTTATTCTGATACCCTGTATCTTGTATGCACATTTATCTGATTTGGGGAAGAGGAGGGGAATAACAAAATAGTGAGACAAAGGACAAAGTGTGAACCAATACAACAGAGATACTCACAAGACAATATGTTGGAAATGAACTTTACAATTTGGGAGGGAGAGGAATTGGGGGAGGTAAAGTGGGAGAAAACAAAGGAGGAGCTAAAAATGTTTGACTACTTGGTGGGGGAAGGGAGTAGGGAGTGGTATGCAGGAGAATTAGGGAGGGAGTAACAATGTTTAAAAACAAATGTATTCATTACCTTATTTATATAACTGTAACCCTTCTGTACATCACCTTTTATAATTTAATCTAATTTGATTAAAAAGAATAAAAGCTGAGCTTCAGGCGAGTATTTTGGGCAGCTGATAACTTTTCACACATTTCCCTCCATTCATGCATAACTAGGATCAATAAAGAAAATCTTAAGGAAGTGGTTGTTTGATTTTCTTTTCTATCATGAGTTCTCCTACAGATTTTGGCTAGACAAGGAAACCCATATATGGAACCTCATAATCCTCACAAAATGAAATAGGAAAGAGAAGGAGGGGTGGTGGAATGAAGTGGAAAATGAATTGTGTGGCCAAACAACACAACAGACATCAACAATCATTATGCACAACTTCTGTAAATAACAACGTCATAATTAAAATTAAGGAAAGAACGCAACTCCGTTTTCTGTGCATTCATTTCTCCACTGATAGAGAATCAAGCAGAAGGAAAGGCTATTTTTATATCACTCTCAGTATGAAACAATAAATCCTTTCCCCATGATCTTAGGCCTGTCCTTAGTGTGTTTTACTGTTCATGAAGTACTAAACATCTAATACGTTATTTAAGTTTCAGTACAGCCATGAGTTTAGTGGTAAAGACATTGCTTTCCTTGTTTCACAAATGAGATGACTTGATGATCAGTAAAACCATTCTAAGCAAGGAAAGACAATTCAAGAAGCTCTTGGCAGTACTAGAGGAAGAGCAATTGGTGCACACTTACTTGGTCTATAAATATCTTATACTGCTGGTAATGAGAAGAGCACATCTGAGATCAGGAAAACAACTACTTTTGTAATAGCCACACAAAGAATAAAATACCTAAGAGTTAACTAAAGAAGTGAAGGACCTCTACGATGAAATCTTTAAAAACCTGAAAAAGGAAATTAAAGTAGAACTAAGGAAGTGGAAAAACCTCCCATGCTCCTGGATTAGGAGGATTAACTTCTTAAAAATGGCAATACTGCCAATGGATATCTACAAATTCAATGCGATACCTATCAATATCCCAAACTCATTCTTCAATGAAATAGAAGAAACAATCCAACAATTCATATGGAACAATTAAAACAAATAGCAAAAACAATCTTTAACAGAAAGAACAGTGCTGGAGGAATATGAATGCCAAACTTCAAACTCAACTACAAAGCCAAAGTAATCAAAACAGCTTGGTACTGGCACAAGAACACACCTGAGGACCAATAGAATAGAACTGAAGACCCAGCCATAAACCCACACACCTACAGCCACCTAATCTTTGATAAGGGAGCCAAAAAATAGAATAGAAGAAAGACAGCTGGTTGGTGCTGGCAGAATTGGTTAAACACTTGTAGAAAAGTAGTGCTGATTTTAATCCTGAAATCCATAATACAGTTGCAATGCTGAACACAGGACTATGTGAAATAAAAATTAGTTTTAGGGGAAAGGAATTGGTGCCTCTTAAGTTGAATACATGACAGTTATATTAGACTGATGAAGGAATACCTAGGAACATGGCAAAACCTTATTGTTCTCTGTGTGTCTATGAGGATGTTCTCAGAGGAGATGTTACTTGAGTCTAACAGCTAGATGGAGAAGGTCCACTCTCAAGATGAAAACACACTATGCAGTTGAATAAAAGCTGTATTTGTGGGAACAAATACAAAAGCTTTCTGACAGTATTAACCTTTCAATAACATCAGAACTCAGGCCTACCTAACATCCTCAAACTTAGACTGAGCTAAATTGCCAGCATCTCAGGTACCATGATGGGTTATGTTCTGTTCTTATTTATATCTCAAACCAACCCTCTCTTTGAACTATAAAGAGATACCTTTTAAATTAGTTTTCTGTAGAATAAACGTTTAGGATTTTGATCTTTAAAGGATTTTAGACTTTAGGGATAGGATTTCAGCATTTGGGATTGTGCCATTGGAGTTTAAGGTTCAAATCCCTGGTAAAATAATATGAAATAGATTTCTAAGGGAAGAAAGGCAATAAAGGATGATTTTTCAAGCAAGTGATCTTGGTAATTATTGGTACTGAGAAACTATCAATAATCAGTAGAGGGGGTGAAAGCTCAAGATAGGAGAGAGCTGGAATAGTTGCATACTAACTCTCTTAGTAAAGTTGTTCCTGAGGCCATAACTGTCTAGCACTGATGACTTGACTTGCAAGCCTATTTCACAGATCTGGGGAGAATGTAGGTAGCACTGTCATGCAAGAAATATTCATATATTAGAACCTTGAAACAATGTATACTTACACCATAACTTTAGAGCAAGAGAAAATACCACATCTGGTTTCTCATTCACCCCAACACTGTATAAACTTACATGTTAGAAATGTTCATGTTATATCCTGTGGTCATTGATCCTTGACATTGTTAGTCTGTTTACTATTTCTGATGAACTGCTATGAACACTGGATTTTCATTGTTGCATAAAGTCATATTGGGCAGATTTGGCATAGAGTACATTTTCAATGAGAGTGTTTTTATGAATAGAGGGAAGTAGTGAAACAAGAGAAAAATGTAATCAAAAATAACTAGATTTACTCAAGAAGGTGCATGCTTTTAGGAAAATGTAGTTAAGTGGAAGAGTTTATGATGCAGGCAAATTAAAAGCCTTGTTAGGGTGACTGGATATATATCGAAAAGGTAGTTCATAGTGCATCATGGGTGTCTTGTCCTTGATGGGAAAATAATCAAGTGACCCTTAGCAAGTGGTAGAAATTCCCCAACAACCTTTTTCTGATCCTTTTCTTTTCACTAAGTCTTTTAAAAAAACAAATTCAATCTGTCATATGTTCAGGATTATTTGAGTTATTTTGAGAGAGCTCTGCTGTGTTTTTCTTCTTTCAGGAATTGGTTCATTTCATCTAAGGTTGTAAAGATATTGACATAAAGTTGTTTACCATGATTATTATTTCTTAATAGTTGTAGAATCTGTCATCATGCCACATAGATCTTCCCTGATGTGGGTATTGCTGTATCTTCTCATAATCTGGTAGACATTTGTCAATATATTGTATTTCTCAAAGAACTAATTTTTGCCTTTATTAGTTTTTCTCTGCTAATTTTCTATTTATATTTCACGATTTACAATTGCATCTTTCTCTTTTCCTTTTATTTTATTAACTTACTATTTTATTTACTGTGCTATTTTTCCTCTATATTCTTGACAATAGGTTTTTGCTTTGAAGGTACTCTGTTAATGCTGAAGTACCCATGCCAGTTATTTATCTATTAGTTACTGATTAGTATTAGTTAGCTTGGCATAACTGGCATAACTCAGTTACTTTTGTTGTGAGAAGTCAAAATTGCCCTGTGTAACTGTGTTTCTAATACAAATTGTTACGTGGCAAGGAAGTTAATGTGGTAGAGAGCTTTCTGTTAATCTAAACTTCCCCTCAATTTTTCTGTACCAGATTATAGATAGTTGCTGTAATTTCATGTTATAATTCTGATTGGTCATTTTGAATTATCACTGTAATTGAATACGATAGCAAATGCAAGGAATACAAATAAGCTGAAAAGGAAGACAAAATCATTTTTTTGAGTATTCCTCTTTTTCTGCCTTAATAAGCAATTGGAATTTTCCAATGCTATGAAATACACATTATGAATTGATATTATGCATAAAAAGAAATATGAATTCCAGATTTTTCGTAACATGTTTCTTGAAATAAGAAACTCAGAGAACTCAAGTGACATGAGGGCCCTGTCCTCAGGAGTTATGGTGTACCCCCAGAGAATAGAGGTCCTTATCTTCAGAAACACAGAGAAAAGGATTTGTCATTCCCTGGAGGCAAATATATTTGATAAATGTCTCCATTAATTGATTCTACAAACTAACTACCAATCCAGAGCTTTTGATTATGAGTACTGCTAATCAATTTATTTCATAGCAAGCTCTCAGTCATTTGTAAATTAAAGATTGCTTACATTTTTTTCTGGGTTGGCGTAATTAACAGATTTATCCTGGTAGTGGAAATGCAAGATCTTCACTTTTAATTATCTCTTGACCTGCTTTCTTTCTCCACAGGGTCTCTTTTAGAGATACTTCAGAAGAAGAAAATTAAAATGCTGTCAATAGATTAAAATACTATTGAACCCAGAGGAGTTGTTGTTGTTGTTGTTTGTTTGTTTTACCTTTATTTTATGTGGAGACATGTGAAGACTACTTCATGGGGAAAAATTCTTCAGATAGCCAACATGGACATCACATGGACTGCACCCTAATACATGTGGATGAAAACTACCTCCTGCACTGGATCAAAATGCTGACGTTGTTATTTCCTGACTGCATTATCAGTGAGCCAGAATGACATAATCAGTTGACCTCCTGGCTGTTCTTATAGTGTCACATCTTCACCTGCATCAATGATAGACACAGAAAAAAAAATGTTAGACTAAATTTGTATAAAATCCTCCAGAGCCACTTAATTTGAAAAGAAATGAAACTTTAGAGACAAAGAATGAGGATCTTTATCTACCTCTATATTCATCACTGTTATTTATTTATTTATTTTTGCCTAGCTATTTAAAAGAGGGGTCTGGGAATGCTGTTCAGTAATAGTGTGCTTTCTTAGGATATGCAAAATTATGGCTTCATTCTTCTGCACGACCAAAAAAGTAAATAAATAAATAAAGAGGAAGAAAGAAAGAAAGTAAATAAAAAAGAGAAGAAACAAGAAAGAGATGAAAGAAGGAAGGAAAGAAGGACAGAAGGAAAGAAAGAAGGAAAGAAGCCATCAGTACAGCCCAAATATGTCCTTGAGTTTTGATAGTTTTTTGTGTTTCTTTAAATTTTTTGTCATATTGGCATGTGAATGTAGGGCATTACACCTGATAGACAGGCGCTGTACACCCTCTTTGTGTGTGTGTGTGTGTATGTGTGTGTGTGTGTGTGTGTGTACACACACTCAGGGCTTCATGTTTGCACTCAGCTTTTTTTTGCTCAAACCTGGTCCTCTACCACTTGAGCCACATCTCCAGTCAGACCTTCACTGTTCTGGCATACTGGAGCTGAAGTCTCTTAGACTTTTCTTCAATCCTTTAGGTCTCAGCATTCTGAGTAGTTAGAACTACAGACACGAGCCACCAGCACACAGATCTATCACATTCTTGACTAGTTTATGATTACATGCTATATTGAAAAAAGATTTTCCAATTTATTCCATTTAAAGAAAATTTAAGAAAAGCCACTCAATGCTCTGACAATTAATTTTTGTAAATTTTATTCTTATCAAGGAACATTATAGATAAAAGTGAAGACTTTTATTCCATCAAATTATGATGAGCTCAAAATTAGGTGCTAGTACCTCAAAAAGATGCCATTATTAAATTCAAAAAGCATAATTCAATACTTCAAATCAAGCTGGTATTCAAATCTTCTGGAAGTAATAAATTTCAGAAAGAAATATTTTTAAGTATGAACATAATTATACTGTCACACATAAAATGTAATTTGGAAAAAGAACTGAGATGAAGTGAGTAGCCTACCAAATAATAATTTAGAGCTAATTATTCCATTTGCGTCACTACTTCTCTTGTATATTCTTCATATCACCCTCACCATGGAAAGATTTGAATTATGAAAGGTAGTTTGTCTACTGCTTAGTAGTCTCCAAATATGAGTTCCCAATAAATGAAAAATTGCTTGTTATCAATTTGATGATAAAAACTAAGAGGAATTTAAGGCACTAAAAACTGACTTACCCTCAACAAGTATTTTAAGGATTACTAAATATAACAACCTCTTGCTTTTTATTGACTTAAAGTCCTTTTGGAGATTCCTTCTAAAGAAGCAAAAATGCACAAATAAACATCCATTTTCCATCATTCCAATGTCATGTGCTATAATGATAATAGCCCTCTGTGCTTTTAAATCAATGTGCTGCGACATTATACTGTAAAATAGGAATTTTACTTTTGCTCTGCTATGCCATATGGCTAGATTTGGTGGAATTAATACAACTCTTTTCTAAATAGTAATAATATTATGGGAGAATTAAAGTAATGACCTACCTTCCTTCCTTCCTTCCTTCCTTCCTTCCTTCCTTCCTTCCTTCCTTCCTTCCTTCCTTCCTTCCTTCTTCCTCTCTTGCTCTTACTTCCTTTTTTCTCTTTTCTTTCCTCTCCTTCCTTCCCTCTATCATCCCTTCCTCCCAACATCCCTGTCTTTATTCTCCCTCTCTCTCTCACTCTTTCTCTTGCTCTCATTTTGGAACAGGATCTCAGAATATAAGTTCAGGTTACCCAGTTCTGGAATTGGAGTTTCTCCGACCTTGGTGTCCCTGGGGATGAAATAACAAGTGGGAATCATCATGCTTCATCAGGAAAGAAGCTTTCTTGGCTCATCTACTCATCTATGTGAAATCTTTCCAGAATCACTGGAAGTAAAGAATAAAAGAAATCCATGTTGGTTTGTAGCACATAGCTTCTCTATATATCAATGAAAAATTTCCTGGGTTCTTCTTTGTACAGTTTCTATAATGTTGATTTGCACTGAATTGTCAATTTTCTGTTATGAGTGACAAAGTCTGTGATACAGTTTGCTCAGCATCTAGGTGGCAGTGGTGAAGGGAAAGAAGTGACAACTTTGAAGAACTTAAGATCTTAGAGCTGAGATCAGAATTGCTTTCTCAAATGTGCTTAGACACAACTTCCATGACTCTATTGCATCTACTTATAATTGACCCATGACTCCAGCCCCTTTTGCTTTAATTATTTTTAGAATAGAATTTATGCTGGGGCTGACCTGGACCACCATCCTAATATTTGTGCTTCCTGTGTAATCAGGTCAACTATACACATGACACACAGCTATTATTGGTTAAGTTTGTTAAACATTTTGCTGAGGCTAGCCATCAATGATGATCCTCCTGAAGAGCTAAGATTACAGGTATGAGTCACCAGAACCCAGCTTCTTTCTTTTTAATCTCTTTACCACAGCAGTAGTTAAATAATAGCATATTTACAATGAATTCATCTTGAATGAACCAAATAAAGAAGAACTACACTTAACCATATAGTTGGAGGACACTAATAAGCAAAAATAATGCATTTTGACTTTATTCCAACATTTAGAAGGCTATACTGCACATGCTTCTTTAACCAAATATGTCGTGGCATATAGAAATAAATACTTTGTTTTGTGCAGCCAAGAAAGTTTCTTTCAACTAGAAAAAAATGAATAAAAGTTGACATTTTTAATGTTGACACATGTAGCTATGTAGATTTTCATGTCATGTTTCATTATGACTTGCAGAAGGTCTGAAAACTAATAGGAACTTCCTTCTATTTTTCTTTATAATTTTTGTCCCTTTGATCTGATTGATGACTAAAATGCTTTCAAAATACCCTTCATAATTTTCAGCATGTTTTTCTATTATTTATCATGGCATGATTGTTGATGTTTTATCGCTCAAAGAGGAACAAATGTCTGAATATACATTCCTATAATCCATGTTTCTATTCAGCAATTCTTTAGGCTTTAGTCCTTCAGAGAGTGTAATACATGATGGAGCTTTTCCTGAGTTGGAAATTTTGAATTGCTGAGTCAGGTGAAGGATGTATTAAATCAGATTGAACATGACTGCTTTCCATTGACTATATATTAAAATACATTGTTTTATATGAAATTGTTTATGAGTTCCTTACATATTTGTTTCAATTTTTTGTGCTGATTATGAAACAATTGAGAACAATTGGTAGAACAATGATAGTAATGAATCAATGGCCTCAATGTTGTTGATGCAAGGCATCTCTCTCTCTCTTTGAAAATAGTATTTATGCTTTTATTCGACAGATTATTTAAACTAATTTATTAATCAAGAGTATTTTATGGCATTTATACAGAGGATTTGTTATTAGTATTGATAGATACTGGAGAGTGTAATTCTTTCCTTTTTAAAAACAAATTATGGTATTGTATGTTAAATTGTGCATGGTAGACTTTCTCACATTTGCATGCCTTTCTACACATACATATTGATCCTGTTTACATCCTGTATTACTCTTTATCCCCCTCCTCCTTTTCCTTTTCCCTTTTCTTCAACCTCCCTATGTTGTTTTGTTTTATTTTGTTTCATTCCACCCCTCCCCCAGTATCTACAAGTAAGGGAAAATATGTTTTCTTCCTTCATAAATGAGAGAAACTTATCTTTGTTAGATTGACTTACTCATTTATCATAGAGCAACTCCACGTGTTTCATCTATTTTTCCATTATGTCCAACAATATAAGTTCATCCTTTGTTCTGGCTGAGTAAAATTCATTGTGTAAACATGCTGCATGTTCCCTAGGAATGAGGACATGCTATTTTTCACATGACTATGCGTCTACCATGACACCTAGCATTAACCCATATTTGTCTTTAGCACTTAATACACTCAACTCCTGCTTGTACCTTGACTCCTTTCCTAAACTCTGGTTAGTCATCTTTTTACTTTACTCCTCTTTCATATCTGTTCCAAGAGTAACAATTCTAGCATCATGCTCTCCTGTGCGTTTTCAACAACAAGTCACTAAGATTTGGCATTTGCCAGATGGAGAACTGCACAAAAGATTTGTTTGCTTGATTTTAGTCAGCATATGTTATTTATACTCATATGCCCTTTCAGCCCCTTCCCTCAGAATCTCTAAGGCAGTATTTCAAATACTATTTTCCAAGTTTGCTGAACTTATCATGTACTTAATGTTATGAGTGGTCCTCAATATTAGTTTAATATTAAAATTATAAAGAGATTGAAAATTAATTATTTTTAGATCTTCTTCCTAAAATAGGTTTAAATCAAATGTGATGTTATCTTGGCACCTAGATTTTCAAAATCATATGATGATTTTTATATGAAACTGGTCCTGAAAATCACTTATATAAAATGTTAAATTAGGTACTGATATTGTTTGCATTTATTTATTGTTTTAATTAATATTACATTTTTAAGGTACTATTTCTAAAGTACTATGCTAAAGGGCCCAGGGTATAACATTAAGTGAATAAATAATTTCAAAGCATTTCATTTGAAATATTCAGTTCTGACTTTGATAGAATGGCTAAGAAATCATAATAGCTACCCCAAAATATAAAACAACTATATTCAGATATGAGCTACACATTCACACTGAGTTTCTCATTTGGGCCATTTTTCAAACGAGACTCCATTCCCAAATATACATTATCTGTCTGTCTGTCTGTCTGTCTATCTATTGCAGAAATCTGTTTTAAAAATTACTCCTTCTTTAAAGGAAAAAATCATTATATTATGTGAAGTATTCCAGACCCAGAGAAACAAAGGCTGCATGGTTTCCCTCATTTGTGGTAGCTAGAATGTGTCTATAAATCTATAAGCAAACACACTGAATGATATCCAAGGGGTTATGAATGATTTAACTGAAGTGTAATAGACTAAGAAGAGCTGATATAGTATAATTCTTTAGAGAGTCTAAGTCAGAGTTCAACAAAATAAGCACCAATAAATGGGTACTCACAGGAGGGGGTGGGTTGTGGCCAGGGGAAAAAGGTAAACAAGGGGGAAGGGATGGAGAACGTAGTCAAGATTTCATTATACAGACCACAAAATTAAGAAAAATAAAAGAAAGAGTGGGCTGAAGAGATGTAAAAATGTCGAAGGGACTAACACAGATCAAGATGCAGCATCCATACATAAACTGCTTTGTTAAATGGGAAAAAATGAATACATACCCTACAAAATTAAGAAAAGGAAAGGAAGGCTAGGTTGGGAGAGATAAATGAGAATGTTGAAAGGGGTGCATTGTGTTCATAAACTGCTTTGTTGAATGACAACTCCTTTGTACAGCTACTTGAAGATATTAAAATATTAATAAAAAGAGTAAGAGATGAGAAAAGGAAAAAAATCATTCCTTTTGATGGCTTTCCTAGAAAGTATATATGTATTTAATTGTACACCTCTATTAAAAATATACTTCCTGATATTAATGTACGTGTTGTTTTAATATTTGGAACTAATCGCGTGATCTTTAATGACTAACTGGAGCAATATTTTCTTAATGATTTTCTGATATGCTAGATGTGAGGGTTAAAGTTAAGATAGGAACATTGTCATTGCTTTGATGAAGCAGAAACTGCTAGAAGTGCTTTAGCTAGTTATGAATATCAATTCACCCAAATCATTATCAGTTTGCTATTTAGTAGTAATTCTAATCTGTCTATATTCACCAAGATTCTCCTTAGCTGTGGCTGCTCTGTAAGTATAAATATCTTTTCATATTTTTAAATTAAATTTTGCCTGATTTAGCTACAAAAGCACTCAAACTATAAGGACAAAAAGTTGGCTTATTTAAATAGTAAGTTGACAATTATATATTTCCTAAAATTTTACATTGCTATGAAATTATCCAAACAATATAAATATTTAAATATGGGTCAGGTTACAAATGCTCAAAGAATATAATTTCTATGGAGATTCACTGGAAACAAACAAGTATTTGCATTTTCTCTCTACATTTTGCCTGCTGACTTTTGTATGAGATGCTGCCAGCTTCCTGCCTCTCTAAGACACAAAACTCACTTCTGTAAGGTCACTAGGGTGTTTTCTGAATATATTACAATAAATCCTTAATTATTTAAGGATTATTTAAGCTTACATTATTTAAACATATGTACATGCACAATATCATGAAGGGTGTAAATTATCTGTGTAATGAGCAGTTAAAAAGCAGAGATGGTACTAGCTTTATTCTCTACCCAGCAATGCTGTAATGTTAAATAGGAAAAGGCTAGGCTTTCTCACCTGGTTCTCATTCAGCAGAATTTAAAATTCTTGCATAGTTTTGTCTCTATGCTCTTATTCCTTGTGCAGCACATAAGATTGAGTAAAAAGTTCAATAATCAATGTAGGTCCATCCGTGTGTGTGTGTGTGTGTGTGTGTGTGTGTGTGTGTGTGTGTGTGTGTGTGTGTGTGTGTGTGTGTGTGATTACTGATCTTGAGCTTGAACTCAGGGCCTGGAGTTTGTGCTCAAGGCTTTTGCTCTACCATTTGAGCCATAGCTCCACTTCCTGGTGGAACTCAACTCTTGAGTGGTTAATTGGAGGTAAGAGTCTTGTGGATTTTTCTGCCCCAGGAGGCTTTGAAACGTGATCTTCAGATCTCAGTCTCCTGAGTAGCTAGGATTAGTCATAAACCATTAATGCTTGTCAATTATATTTTCAACGGGAAAAGTAAAATGTTTGATTTAAGCTTTTAGGCACATTTAATTTTTATCTACACCTGGAAAAATAAAGGACTATCTAAATATAGACTTAGAATTCCATACGTTATGTTCTTTACAGAGCTGTGTCAAGAGATTTGAGAAACCTGGAATGTATCAATCTGCTGAAGAATGATTGCAGAACTGGAAAAAGAACTGTTTCTGGAACCTTCAGTTCAATTTAGAACAATTTTTATTGCTTGACTAAAAGTAATTATGAGTAAAGTCCAGAAATAAAGACATCACTTACCATAATGACCATATCTGAAGCTGAAAGTAGTACTAACACTAGACCGAATACTATTCTTTCCATTTTGGAATGTATTGACCATTAAGTAGATTGTAGTGAATTTTGATCACATAGGAAAATATGACAACTAGGGATTTTAAAAAATATAAATCCAAATATACATCCAGACTATGACCTACAACATATATATATATATATATATATATATATTTACATATATTTATTTTGAAGAGGTCACACATTCTTTGTGACCCTTGCAACTTTTTTTTTCCCCTTGCAACTCACAGGTTGACAAAGAAAATCATTGTGTTTTCATTCAAAATTCATATGTTAAATAGCATATTTTTATAAATGTCAAAAATTCTATAAATGTAACAAGAATATTCCAGGTTCTGAGGCTTTGAAAATTAAATGCAAATAATTTTAAGATTTTTTAAATTTCAAATATAAATGTGAAGGAAAATGTTTAGTTTTAAAATGATTGATAGCTTAATTTAGGGATCAAATGATAATTTAAAATAATTTGATACTCAATTTGAGGAAATTTATAACATAAACTCTGTGACACTTTTTGTGAAGTTTTAGTAAAAATCTGGAAGTTTATACAAACTATGTCAAATATTACCTAATAATACATTGTAAATTTCTTTGGAGTTTTCTTTCTTCTTTTTAAATTTTATTTTATTGTAAAAATGTTACACATTTTGCTGATTAAATGTCATTCCAAACACTTTTAAAATTATGTATGATGAATTTAAATTACAGCTATTTTCTCATTATCACATTGGATAAAAAATATAAAATGGATCAATCTGGAAGTAGATTTCCATTATTTCTTATGGAATTAATTTTGATAAAATGTAATCACTGTTTATTTCAGGAAATAGTCTAATGTTGTTACTGCTGCAATGTAACATTTTTACATTTCTTTTATCTGACCATATTTCTGCTGCAATTGAAACAAAATTCATTACCAGAAGAGATATAAACAGTACATACACATACATACATAATTATATATGTACATGGATGAATGTACAAAGACCCGCACATGTTACACACACTTATACACAGGCCATATATAACCTTACAAATACAAACATACATAAGTTTATAAATTGGATAGTCATTCAGTTATATACCCTAAGAGAATTTATGTAACATACTGTGTCAAATTATTTTATCTAATCTGTTTGTAAAGTATGGATGAAAAATGTATTAAATAATAACTGATTTATTCTAATATTTCTAGTAAAATCCTAATGTAGAAACAAGGATATCACAAACAGAAGCTGAAGCTAGAAAATATTGTGCACACACAATGTAAATATAAAAATAAACATTACAGCAAATGAAAAGTGCCATCTATTTTTTCTTATCTGAATATACATTATATATATCTGAAAAGATACAAATTGTGCAGATAACATTGGAAAATACATATACTTTACAAATATTTTTAGCTGATTCTCATATGGTTTTGCCAAATCATTTAAAATGTATTTTTCCTTTGTCCTATAATGCTGTGCTTTAAATTTTGAAAGGAAAAACATCTTTAGATATATCTAGGTGTAATATTCAGCTAGAATTTAGCATTTAATTTTTAAAAGGTCTTACTCTCTCATACCAGTTCTCTCTTCTCTAGTTTTGTTATGTATTTTAATACATGGCCCATGAAACATAGCTATGTATCTCGATACAATATTAGAGGATCTACTATTCTCTTTCATTGGCTAATTGTTTTATTGTTGGTCACTCAACTTTGGTGAGATTGCTTCTTGTATTTCAAGGAATGAGAATGAATAAAGAGGCTGAAATTTCTGTCACATAGAAAATTTAGTGGTTTCGTTCCTATTCTTGGGCTTTTGGCTGGTCTAAATGATTTTTGAAGATCTTTCTTCATGATTATGCAACTGTCTCTTTAATCATTTCAATTGGTCTTTTCTGGACTTGACCCAAAATCTCTGCATCATTTTGCCTACTGAGCTGCCTGAGGTTGGCTCCAGGATTGTACATATGCTTGTTGATTTCTAGAAGAGTGAGCACATAAGTCAAGCCACAGGCAACACAAAAATAAATCTTTGGATGGAAATTGTCACTGTAAACTTGGTTTTGACTCCTCAATGCTCTTCAAACTATGACTTACTTGACAACTTTCCTTAGCATTTTCCTTTTCTAATATTTCTATCATGTACATTTGCACCGATGAAATATAAATCATGATAACATTTTAGCATTTATGGAAAGACATCATTTATATTTGGTCTATATGAAACAAGATTTATTTCCTCTTAAGACACTAATTCAGTTTTATTTTTTTTTATTTTTTTATTGTGAAAATACTGTACAGAGGGTTACAATTACATGGGCAAGATAATTAGTACATTTCGTATCAAGCATTGTAGACTCCTCCTTTGTTACTCCTTCCCATCCCTTCCCATCCTCCCCTTGTCCCTTTCCCCACTCCCCTTCCCCCCACCAAAGTTGTAAAGTTCTTTTTTCCACATAAGGACTTGTACATCTCATTGTTGCAATGGATCCACCAGTATCCCTATTTAAATGATTTGTTTTTTTCCCTTCCCCTCCACAAATTATACACAATGGAATTCTATGCCTCCATCAGAAAGAATGACATTGCCCCATTTGTTAGGAAATGGAAAGATTTGGAAAAAATTATATTAAGTGAAGTAAGGCAGGCCCAAAGAAACTTGGGTCCCATGGTTTCCCTTATTTGCAATAACTAGTATATGTGTAAGTCAAGCAGAAAAGGTCAGATAAGTTGATGTTAGGGAAATGAACACTAATTCAGTTTTTAAAACTCAACAAAACTTCCAAAATTTTGCTTTTGATGGAAAAAATTTTCTTTCTAGTACTTTTATTATTCAT